AGAAGTTCCATGGCTCTAGTAGGCGTTAGTCAGCCCTCGGTCTCCTGCGTTTAGAACCTTCTTCTCCATACGCCCCTGGCTGGAGTACGCAGGGGAGCCCAGGCCAGCCCAACTCACCGGGTTCAGCTCAGGGCCTGTTTGGATCAGCCAGAACCAGTCTTTGTCAGCCCCTTGCTGCTACCTCCTGCCTCGTCCCCTCTGTAGGCTTGCCCCGCTTCTCTCTCGTTGGAGTGTTAGCCATTCACCAGCCTGCTAGAGGGCGGTTCTCTAGCAGCTGCCTTTCTTCTCAGGAATTCCCCTTCTAACTGAGGTCCTTAATTTTTTTATCATGCCCAGGTGCTTCCCTGCCTAATTAACTGCCTCTCAGTACCCTTGGGTGAACCTGAGCTGCTTCATTCCCCGTTGTGGAGCCCGTAAGAGGTGGGCTGGGCCCCTGAGCCTTCAAAGGGCCATTTACCTTCTGACAGTACAGTGGGCAAATCCCTTCCCCTCCTCTTACCAGTAATGAAAATAAAGTCCAGACCCTGGGGAATTTACAATTCCAGGGCCGGATTCTGATCTCACTCACACAACTGAGAATTAGGAGCATATGCTCTCAGCAGTTGTGTTTATGAGCATCCCAGGGTACCACAGCTGCATGTGAAATCAGAGTGAGGCTTTAATTATGCCAACAAAGTGTTGGCAACCACAAAGTAGGGAGGGGGTGGGAAAAGGCAGAGATCCAGGAAAAGCTATGGTGAGAGACACCTTGTTCTGTACATGCCCTGTGGGTTCCTGGGTTAATTGTTAATTAACGGCAGGACCATGGAAGGCAAAGGGACAGAAGAGCAGGACTGTGGCATTACGTCAGAAAGAACATACACAGATTGTTCGTAAAGTGCCAGACTTTGGTCCAGCCTGGCAGCCCTTCAGAGAGCCGTGCAGGCAGCTCCCTCCCAGCCCAGCTCTAGCTTCCCTTACTTGTCCAGTGAGGGGTGGTAATTCTCATCTCGCAGGTCGCCAGTGTAAGTGAGGTCATCTTCCTCGGTGAAGTCTTCTTCCTCATCCTCTTTGGGCTCAGGCACCTCCTCTGGTTTATCCTCCAATCCTGGTGCACTGCAAGAATCAAATGTCAAGAGAGCGGGTTGGAGCCATGGCTCTGAGGGGAAGTCTCTGAGAGCTCTGTGGCTCCTGATCCCACCATCTCTCCTCACAGCCTGATGGCCATCCTGCCTACCTGTCCCTGTCAGTCACTGGCCTCTTTGCTGAAGCTGTTCACAACAGGGCTGATGCGTAATAATAGGGATGGGGCAAGACTGCCCCACTGGGAACTGGCTTGAGAACTCAGCTGTTATTTTCACACCGGACGTTGTCAGATGGGAGTGACTCTGGGTCATCGCAGTCCTGGGGATACAGGACAGCTCCTCTCTAGTCCCAGGAGCACACGCGCAGGGGATAGGTAAGCACCAGGGACAGATGAGGAGAAGAGCCACCGTCACTCACCTCTCCGGCTCTATCCCTTCCATGCCAGCCTCTGCCTCTGTAGGGAGGGGAGCTGTAGGGAGAGAAACTAGGTGAAGTCAGTTGAAGGGTGAGATGGAACCATGAAGCTGAGATCTGCAGAGAAGGGACGGGGAAGGAAGGAGCAACTGCAATGGTGGGAAAGACGGTGCAGGGAAGGTTTGGGAGGAGAGAGGAATGCAGAGTGAGAAGGCCCCGAGGAAGGGAACTAAATCCTCATTCAGGGTATAAACCAACCACTAACAGGCCAGAGAAAGGGGACTAGGAAGAAACTATAAACAAGTTGTTCCATAATTGTCCAATAGGGGGTTTCTTCCCCTCTTATGAAGCACCTGATACTGGTCATGGAGGGATAAAGGGCTAGATGGACTCCCCCTTTCCTCGGAGCCCTGGGGATCCGAGACCCACGGCTCTTCCCCTCATTACAGCCAGGAGATCATGTCGGGTTTGGGAATGAAAAATCCTGCTAAGGGGGAAAGACCATGGTGGGATGGGGGTGAATGAATGGTTCGTGGAATGTTTGTTACAAAGAAAGTTCCATGACTTAATCCGGCCCCTCCCCTAGGCTGTGGGGTGTGGCACTGGCAGATGGACATGGGAGACCCTTCGGAAGAGTCGGACATGCTTCGCCTCCTGGAGAAGACTTTGAGATCTGCACACGCCAGGTGACCCAGGCACAACACTCATATCAAACCACTTAGGCCAGATACCGGGCTGTAGCAGGGAATGAAACTTTAAACACAAAAGACTTCTCTTCGGAAAATGAGATTTGGTTGAAAATTATTTCATTTGCAAAACAGTTTAGCTTTCAATTCCATTTTTAGAAAATATTTTGAAATGGTAATTCTTTTTTGGGAGGAAGAACAGAATTTTTTTTAAAAAAATCTTTAGTTTAGAAATTGTGTGGAATTGCCACCTTCTGCCAGAGTTCTACTTTCTCCTGCCTGTCCTTTTCCACCCGAAAAGAGCGGGAGGGAAGTCAAAGAGCGAGAGAAATTAATAGTGAAGTATTACTTTGAAGGGTTAAGCACTGAACGTGATATTTGTGGACAGAAAGCTTCTAATACCCAAGGGAACAAGGAATCCCTTACCCAGCGAGGTCACGCTCTTGTAATTCTCCTGCATGACGTCCCTGTAGAGGGCTCTCTGATTGGGGTCCAGCACAGCCCACTCCTCCTCCGTGAAATACACAGCCACCTCCTCGAAGGTCACCGGCCCCTGAAACAACCACAATCCCCACTCAGGACTTGTTCCCCAGCCACAATCCCACCTGCCCCAGACTGTTCTAGTTTCCTGTCTACTTTCAGTAAGGCTTATAATACCCATAATCCCCAAGTTAGAATCTTGTCCCTACTGCACCCATGTGCTGTTAAATGGCTCACTCACTCCTAGGTCTAACATCTCCCCATGCATCATTCAGGCCTCTCGCCATTCCCTCTGCTCATAGGCACTGACTTCTATTTTTCCCGGTGAGTGCTCCGCCCGAGGCCCCATCCTCACAAGGCTCTGCCCTCACTCTGCCTCTTCCTGCCCCCTCCCACAACTCCCCCACCTGCCCTTTGCTCGCTCCTCTCAGCCACCTTCCCCAAGGCCCCCTGCCCGCCCGCTGCTGGCTCCTCTCCACCCTCCCCTGAGGCCCGCCAGCCCGGGGGCCCCGCTAAACAGCTGATTGGCAACCAACCCCGGCCCACCCAACAGCTGTGGCTGGTGGGTGCTGAGCCCCCCCTATTTTTTTTCCGTGGGTGATTAAGCGCTGGAGCACCCATGGAGTTGGCGTCTATGCATCTGCTACCTAATGCACCTTCAGTCTCCCAGGATGAGGGTCACTTGTTAGTATGTGAAACTGAGGTGGTTCTCACTGGGTTCACAGGGACTGACCCAGCAAATCTATGGAAGCTCCTTAGCTGGAATTCCTCCAATACAAGCTCCAACAGGTGCGAGATGGCTCAGTCCACAAGGTTAATTTCTCTCTTTGGTTCCTTCCATTCCCTCGGGGGACCATCCCACCCTGTTGTGCTGTTTTATGCATATGTTGCTGGTTTATTTTTGAGAATCTTGGTGCCCCTAACCCCTCCTCCCCCAAGTTCTGGACAAATTGAAGTGTGAGGGCAACAAACCATCACTTGAAACCTTTAAACTTCTCATGGGCCACTGTTGGAAGACAGGATACTGGACTAGATGGACCTTTGGTCTGACCCAGAGTGGCCACTCCTATATTCCAGAGCAGAAGTCTCTTTGTAAAAGATGGGCTCTAGTTGAACCACAAGTTGCTGGGTTCTATGAAGGCCTCCTGGGGTGGGATTCTCTAGTTTGGGTTACGCAGGGGATAAGACTAGAGGATGATACTAATGGTTCCTTCTGGTCTTAAAATACAGGAGTTATCTTTGGCGTGCTGGTCATGCCAACATTTTCCCAGCAAGCCCCTGCACCCTGTGCTCCATACTGCCTGACTCAGGGGAGGCGCTGCCTGTGAAACTCCACCAAGCCACGACGCTGCTTATTATGCTAGCCGCCATCACCTCCCCATTACGCTGTTCTATGCAGCTGTTGCC